GGCGTGGGCGGGTGGGACGGGGGCGGGCGGGGTGGACGGGGGCGAGCTGGGGTGGGACGGGGAGGGGCGGAACGGGGCGGGGCCGGGCGGGGCAAGGCGGGGCGGGGGCGAAGGCGGGTGGGACGGGGGGCGGGGCGGAGCGGGGGCGGAGGCGGGGCGGGGCGAGAAGGGGGCGGGGCGGAGAGGGGCGGGGCGGGCCGAGGCGGGGCCGGGAGCGGGGGCCGGGGCGGGGCAGAGCGGAGCGGAGGTAGCGGCGCCGCTCGATGAGTACGCGCCCAGGTGAACCCCGAGGTGTAAAAGCGGAGCGAGTGCGAAGATGGGCACGGCCCGATGGGCCAAAGGGCAGGAGGCGAGACAGGCCCAGCCAGGCTCAGACTGAGACAACTTTTTTTTTTTTACAAACAGGTATAGCGTAAATCGCGGTTAAATGGAACACGTGTCATTCCTCCACACTACTAACAGCGTGTTAAGCAATTTGGATTCAGCTACCTTAGCAAAACAATCGCATTTTGGACAATCTTCGCCGGCGCCTTTTCAAGTCAACAGCATGGCTCCCGTCTTCGGAGTCTACAATTATCAGAAAACATTCTTGAGTGCAAGCCGCACAGCGCAACATTTCACAGCTGGAACGAGCCTAATTTGACTAAAGTCTTCCGTGTAAATTACACCTAAGTATTTCTACTCTGTTGGTAATTAACAATAGTTTGTAGTACTTGTCTAAAAATGTGACTTTTCATTTTCAACACTTCTACAGACATTTTACTAATTTAAAACACGTTACTTTCGTTGTAGCTACGCGTTATAATTTATTGAATTATGGCCACCTGCACAGTGCATTGCAGATATGATCCATTTATTCTTATGCTTTAGCTGTCTGTCAAAACAGCACCAACCACCAGACTGTCGACTGCTGCATCGCCTTCGGCAACTTTATTAAAAAACGCGAACAAAAAATTTGAGTTTCCCAATCCCTCCCTCAGATATGAACCTTCTTACAATCGTTTAAAATTATTTTAAGTTTTTTATCCAATTCAATAGGACTTTTCAAAAGAAAAAAACAACTTGTGATCCCTCATTTATAGTTTGAGATCATTAATAAAATGCATTATTGATGACCCTTCTTGTAGCGGTCAGACTGCTCAGAGTGGGAGCGGGGCATCTACTCCATCGAATCGCCGCCGACCGAGTGATTCTTGGGGGTCCCAGCACACCACCCGGCATTGAACAGAAAACAACATTCCTCCCCCCCCCATTTCACGGTGGTGCGGGCGGCGGCGTGGATTGCGTGCAGCGTGCAGGGTGCAGGCGCCGGCAGCCTAAGAAAAGGGCGGCCCCGCGGCGGCGGCCAAGTGGAGCAAAGTTCGCGCGCTGAGTGCGCTCGCCGCCCCACTTCGGGCGACGCTCGCCGTCGCGCCCCACTTGCCGCGGCCGAGGGCGCCCCCGCCAACGCCTCGGCTGCCTCCACTTCCACTCTCGGCTTCTGCCGCCGCCGCCGCCGCCACCGACACCACAGCAACCGGCTTACGTGGCCCAGGGGATCAACTGATGCCACCGATGCGCCTCTCACCGGGAGGTCCTAGGGTTCGAGTCCAGACGGTGGCAGGACTTTCAACACTAGCTTGTACCTTGGTACGAATTCGGCTGCAGTGTGAAAGAGAACTCTAGCGCCGGCTGCTCTAATCGGTAGTTTTCCGTGGTTTCTACGATCAACACCAGCGAAGTACCGGAACAGTACCCTTCCTATCCTCATCCCTTACTTACATACACTTACACGCACTGTATTGCCGGGAGACCGGGATGCCGGGAGACCGATCACCAAGCTTAGAGCGTGACCCTGCGGGGACGGTGCCCCGTTAGTGAGAGATACCCGGTCGGGGAAAATCCCGCTAGCCGACGTGTAAGTCGGCCCCGGATCTCACCATCCGGAAGGGGAGATCATAAGACACATCCCAAAGAAAACACATGCACCACACTTACTGATCCTAACACTTGACGCGCCCTAGCGACTAGAACAATCAATCAATCAAACACCACAGCACTCTCTGCCACCGCTGCCTCGCCCATTTCCAGCGCTTCCGCAGCCACCGTCGACGACCAGGTACTTCACGCTCGCTCTGTAAGAACAGCGTGCGAGACGCATCACCCTCCATCTCCTCCCTGAGTAGCGGGGCGCCGACCTCTTCCATCTGCATATTTAAAATACAAACTAGTGGGCTACAATTTTCCACTCTGGATATTTGTTATCATTTCTTTTCCGTTTTACACGTAATGAGGGGGGGGGGAAGATAGAAAAAATGTCAACCTTCCCGAAATAAGGACCGGTCTAGTGGGCAACGTACGCCTCGGAGTGTCCTTGCACTAAATGCACATGCACTCAATTACACATGTCGCACGGTACTTTTTTTTCGATTACGGCCAACTTTGGATCACGTAACAAGGCAACGCACAGTGCCAGTCAAGAAATAACTCTTCTCATATCTCACATAGCAGAACTTGTGAGTTTCCCAGTGGACAAGAATTTTCAAGATTAGTGCGGTTCAGAGTAGGTGGGAGTTATGTAATATGCAACGCGGTACTTGCATCTGGTCGCAGCTTCTCGGATCTCCGCCAAACTTGTGTACCGAGGAATTCTTCATCAATGGAAGATGAACCATACAAGGACGAAGGATCTGTCCTAACGATGCTTGCTGTTCGTTTGAGCCTAAGGACGAGAATGAGCAAAGGATAGAGAAGGGATGTCCGCGGCGCGGAAAAGTTTCTGCGTAGGCATCCGTCTGGAATTAATAGGAGGAAACGACAAAAACGACGGATCAGAGCAGCAGTCTCAAGAATTCTCACCCAGGCATTGGTTCTCTTCGACACAGATGCTTTTATAGGTCGAAAATCCTACTACCGTGGGTATGGAACAGGGATATGCCATTACACAGACATTGATCTGCCACTTTAAGTACTTCGAGAATACCGTTAAGAGTGTTTAACACTAGAGGATTCGCATAGAAGAATTTCGTCTACAAAGAAAAATAGTTTCGATTAGCCTGTTTAAAAAAGGGTGAGGAAAAATTATTTTGTACATGTGATTCACAATTAATGTACATCCGTTCTCGTAACTCTGAAAATAAGTAAGATATATGAGAAAAATAAAGAGAAAGGTGACATAATCAATTACAGCTACCTGGGTATAGGTTAGCCCAGCTACACTACCGGTGGAAGATTAATTCTTGTTTTTAACATGTCCTTAAAATTTTACTTTCTAGCCGGAATCTAATTCTGTAAATTGAATTCTGTTTCCTCGATGTCGGTTGAGAGCCTACAAACCAATACACGAACATGACTTAATGGGAATACCTTCCATATAAATTGTTTCATATTTTTTTCATTCAGATCTAGAAAACTTAACTTTCGAAATTCTAAGACCATTTCGAGGTGAGAACATACGTAATTACGAGTTCTTTAATGAAATCGAAGCAAACATTTTCTTGAAAACAACATTTAATATTTAAACCGAAATGCATGTAACGTTTTCTTACAGTTACATATTAAAGCAGACACACTAATTTACTAACAGTCCCTAGAGATTTCTCGGACTAGGCCGGTAAAAAAATTTTACCGCACTAGTTCGGTAAAAAGGTTCTTCGGAGCCTTATTCTTACACGACGTCAGTTGCGTCGAAAACAGTGATCAACTGAGAATAAGCATTCAGATGGTATGCTCTGCACGAAAATAAGAGGGATAACAAAATCAAATATTTGCATTTTTAGTGAAATTCGAGTGTATCATTGTTTTCGCGTTGTTCCGGAGATCCTGGGTAGGTCACAAAAACCTAGAATATATAGGTGTAGTGTATGCACCTCAGTCGAAATGCGAATGCTTTTGGGCTATTTTACCGACCTCGTCCAAAAACCTCCACATTACATCATTGATATAATGTACATGATATATATATATATATATATATATATATATATATATATATATATATATATATATATATATATACATGTATATATATATATATATATATTACATTGATATCCATTATATATTAAACACTTTTATCATTAATATAATACGTTCAGCAAGGTTATAAAACTCTCAAGGAGGGCATTTTCCTATATTTCTGCCCCGAGCAGCTTATAATTTCTTTCAATAATGGGCTTCGAGGTGCCGTTCCCGCCCTCCTCCGAAGCGGCTATTCGCGTCCCTCCCCCTGCGCGCGGCTATTCGCGGCCGCCGCGCCGGCAGGGAGCGCCGACGGCGGGCAGCAGGGGGCTCCGGCGCAGGTGCCCGTGCATTCGCGAGGAGGCGGCCCGCGCGGCCCCCAAACCAGAGGGCGGGCCGTCCAGGTGGGTCATTCAGGCGTGGAACGGATTCGATTGTCTGAGGCGAACGGTACAGGTTCGGTAGGAGACACGGTAAGTGAAAGTAATTAAGGTGTTTCGTGGTTTAGGGACAAGTCTCAACATGCTATCTATACTATTCTTACACCGAAAAAAAGATCTGTTGGAGTATAACATAACCACGATACTGTAACAAGGAAACTTCTTACAGTATCATGGATCTGGTATACCCCAACGCTTCTTTTTTTCGGTGTAATTTTATTTGAATTCTTCTATCAGAGGAAGAAAAATTGAGAAAATGTTAAAAAAATACGAGAGATAGTAACAAGGAATAGGTGGTATGGGGGGGGGGACAATACAGAGAAGTTAGTCTAGACTATAGCGTTTAGAAAACTAATTAATGCGACAAAAAGTCTGTGCCATTCTGTAGCACCACTATTTCTCAAAATCTGTTTTATTCATAATTACAAATAATCTCTGCCTTCTCAATAAACCAATAATTTGATGATGATCTGCGTGCATTCCAACAAGGAATACTCGAAACGGGAGGAATACACATTTGAAGCAGACGGTCGTCCTTAAACTTTTACACGCTGAAAGCGTGTACTTTCCGTGCTCCCCAAAATATTAGATGTGAGGAAGGTCAAGGGGGCGAGTACTCACCGGCCTACAGCTCTGCACGCCTCCGGAGCCGAAGAAGTACTCGCGGCCGTACGCCACGATGGCTGTGTGCCAGATGCCCTCCAGATGGCGCCCTGCAACCACAAGCGAAACCGTCTACATTCCTTCTGTTTTCGCATATTCCAACCAGTTGACATGAGCTACCGAAAAAATGCTAAACAGGAAAAAAATGCTACCACCAAAATATACTACAATGTGTAAAAACACGACAAATGTTCTCCCGGTTTGACTTTTGAATCATTTAACATGATACAGAGCCTTTTTCACCACGGATTTATTCATAGAGAGTACATTAAAAAGGCTACTGTTCAGCTGAAACATTGACATCAAGTCTTATTTTTAAACAGAACTACATTATTGCTGTTGAAGAAGAATGTGGACGAAAAAACCTTTCACAAGATATTTTAAGAGACCATCTTTAAATGTTTCACTTTGCACAAAAACACACACATACAAAAGGAACAGAGCTATAAAAAAAGAATGTCAGCTTTAAAAACAAATTTATTTTTATTAAGTGTCAAAAGCCGTTTTATGATTTTTCATGACAAGTAGGAAAAGGATATTTTCAACATAAAATCACACTCATCAACTCGCGAAACGTAGCATGTGTCCACTCCCAGATGTACGTTCTGCTGTTTTCCATAGTATACTACCAAAACTAAACCGGCTCCAGTGGTAATGGCTTCTGAAACAAGAGTTCTCGGTTCAAACCTGGCGAGGGGCGGAGGATTTTCGAAGGTCGGAAGTTCATTAGAGTTTCGTGACACTTTTGAGACCTGTAAAAGAACCCAAGAAGTTCTTCTACATGCTTCCAAAGAACTGTTTCTTCCCTCAAGTTTGGGAAAGGCGCCAATAATGGGTGAATATGACACTTGACGTGACGGTCCACAGCTTTGAATAATGGTGTCAAAAACAGTCGGTTATGTTTGGAATCCATGAGGTGGTAATTAAGAAATTACAACCAATAGACCCTTGTGGCCAGGCTACATACATATCTATACTCTGAAGATCCATCAATATACCCCTGTTGGGGTTGGACCTATGATCACTCTTACACGTCGAAATAATTGATACATGAACTGACAAATTTAAAATTACTTCACTTCAATTACTTCTTCTATGGACTGTCTATTCTTGTCACTTGAATTATATCTTGCCAAAAATAGTTCACAATCAAACCTAGCCCACTGAATATGTACATATTAGTATTTGTAGTGGTATCCGCATTTGTACTTGTAACTGTAAATATAATTGCATTGGTATGTGTTTGTACTTTATTCGTGTACGTATTAATGTAGTAGTATCCAAAACTGCAAAACTGTAGTGACAAATGTAAGAGATGCACTGGTCCTTGTATCTGTTTACTGAATAATATATGAAATTTATTACGGTCTCTTGGTGAAATAAAATTAGTTGGTGTGAAAAATAATGTCTTCTCCCTTCCCTGTCTTCATTCACGGAGGCGCTTGCGAAACAAAAATGAACTCCAGAAGACCCTCTGGCGGTCGTGTAATTAATGTCAGCCGCAACACCTGGCCGCGGCCAACGGTTGAGAAACGGTCGGCACAGGAACGGCTCATCTTGCACTCGCATTCCAAGTTAAAATTAGCGCACACAAACCCCACGGCTGTAAAGGCGTCGCACACCCGATCGTGGTCAAAGGCCGATTATTAACGTCCCGTAAGACCTCATAAGACAGCCTTCATGGCCGCGGCATGCAACATGGAACAGTAGTTATGGAACACTATGCGTGGTAGTCTTTGTAGCTGAGGCAGTAGGGAAGCTGCTGATGGTATGGGGAGTGCTAGTAATGGCTGTAAAACCCGGTAGAGTCAGTTTGCACTTTCCGGCTTGGCGATGGGACACAACCTCACTTCTAATAGAAAGCTTCGATCGCTTCTTTAGCGGGTGAATGGGGGCTCGGTCACGCCTTTCAACGGAATGAAACAATACTTTCAGAAGTAGATCATTTTACCTCCAGGTGGAGAACAGAACAAGGTTCCTAAAATAAGTTCCATTTGCAGCCTCGTACTTTATTTCATTCCAACTCATAATTTTGCTTGTCCTGGTTGTCCTTAATGACGTACAAGCTTGCATGCATATTTAGGACATGCTGCGAATGACAGTTTTAGGGTAGACCAATTACATGCAAAGATCTTTCCTCTCTTGTAATCAACTCTTCAAGATTTGTAAGCGAGATTACAAAGTAGGAAACAATTTCTATTTAATATAAAGTAATATCTTAAAGGCATCTTACATTTTTCACCTACTGACAAAACTCCCAACGATTTTCTACATCATATTCATGTTTCACATAATTTATCTTAATTCACATGTTTTAATATCGTTTAATTTAAGAAATGTACATGAGATAAAGATATATTATGACATTTGATCGCACGTATTAGCGACGTGACAATGCTTATCCTAAATACGCGTTGCATTTGTTTTCCGAATGTGAGGGTCATCTTATGACATTGCCCCACTTTCTGTGTATTCGGATGATCGTGTTCGTTAAAAAATTATTAACATTCAGCTCTTGTTCACTTTGAAGACGGACGCCATCGAACTGTAGGGCAAGAGCGTATATATCTGCTTTGTAGGGGACCATACTCACAACAGGGTTCCGCGCTGAAGGCAATGACACTAAGTCAGTCTAAAGAGAAATTTATGACTGACACAGTGAATCTCTAAACTACACAGCTTGTACCTAACAGCCTTAGAAACTTTTCACAAGTAGTTTATTACATATTATTCGCAATTCCCCGTCACTGTAACATACTCCACCGACCCTATGTTTTGAAGCCGTTTCTACGTCGGACCTTGTCCATCCATTTTGGATTGTGTGAATATTAACCGGCTATTTCGTAAATTATACAGATTTGTACACTACCCATAATCCAGTATCTTCAGACTTACAACCCCAAACTGAAACCATGATTGCAATGACGAGCCCAAATGTTTCAAAATTTGACTCTTTAGATTACGAGTTACATAATTTCTCCAATTGCTCATGTAAAAGGCGTCCACGCAATTGGCGTAAAAACATCTCGCTGTCACCTGCCGCCGCCATCACGTCTTAACTGCGCTTGAAAATTTTAAAGCGCGAAAATGAAAAGCTTTTACATCGCCGCCAATTGAGAAAAAGGTAGATAAGCGAAGCTAAAACAGCAACAATAGCGGAGGCCGCGCACCGGCGCAGCAATAAGCGCAAATCACCACACTGAACGCTGGTTTCGCCCGAACACCACACAGCGCTGGGAAAGAAGTTATACACGATTTCTTGGAAGGAAATAGCGTCTTGTGGGTTATGTTAAAGCTTTTATAAAATCACCCTTTTCTACACTATTTCGCTATAGGTGAGTTTGGTGACTCTCACACGCAATATTTATAAATGATGTCTCTAAAGAAGGGGAATTTCATGAATGTGTAACGACACGAATTGCATTTTTACTTTTAAAATATAAAGGATATATTGGGGAAAAATTTAAATATCCAGCCAAATGCAACTTAACTCATATACGAAGCGTTCTAGGGACTTGAAACCCAGGATTTCGAGATAAGAATCCTCCAAGAATCGTTTCTCACACCATAATCTACAGGATGAGATCATCTTGGACAATCTATTACATTTTTTCTGGTTCGGCGATTCTAGATACTACCCCACCTGTTCACAGACGTGCAGTATCTGCAAATGTATGTGAAATTAAACTAATTACTTGATATACTACGCGACTGAATTGCTGTATTTCTCTGTTCAGTAATAAAGTTAAATAAGAATAGTTTGTATTGACAAGGGTGTACACTTAATTGTTATGTTAAAATATGATCAGTTAGTAAAATTAAAATGAACGGAACAAGTGACGAAAGATAACAGAGCATTGAAGAAAAAGATACATAATGGGTCAGTAGACGATTCTATACCAGTTTTAAACAAATAAAAAACCTATCAGTAACCACTTCCCCTTAATACGGAAATGGAAGGATAAGGAAGAGGGTGGGGTTCAACACGCGAGAGTTCTCGCGCGGGTACACTAGTTTCATATATTCTCGTTCGTCATCAGGTGGCGCGTACGACGTCTTCCGACGCGGGTGCGTCTGGACACTCCGTGTACAAGGCGTACTGCGCACGTCGCCGACGTGCAAGCGAAAACACGCGGAGGTCCAACGCGGAAGCGTCCGCCGCTCGCCCCGGGCGGTGCATCGGCTCAGTTGCTCCTCGGGGCGGGGGCGGGCGCGGGCCACGCGACACCGGGGGTCGCCGCCCCGCGCCGTTTGGCAAAACTTCAGAGCACATCGCCGCGCCGCGCCGCGCTCGTCAAGCGCTCGAGATGAAAAGCTGCGGAGTATTTTCAATACAACGGCGGAACGCGCACCGCTGCAGAAATAGAAGGCGGACCTGGTTTATGTCGCCCTCACGGCGCCACGTTACAGGCCGATGAAAAGAAAACGCGAAATTTTTTTGCGCAGCCAGCGACAACCAATGTCTTGCCGGCGATTATACCAATAGACGAAGTTATCGACTCAAATATACATAATTCTAGGAAAACATATTTTTCGTAACGGAATTGGCGAATCCAAAGTTTTTAACCCATTCCTTAAATCTTTCTTCACGTGTACCTATATTAAGATTTTCTTCGTTGTATTATGTATGTTCGTTCCGTATCATTCTGGATGGAATCGCAAGAAGTTTGCAATCTTCGGAGGTAGCAGGATGCATTGCAACGTACTTGAGCCGGGCAATGGTAACTATCTCGCTCCTACTGTACGTTTGTTAGGTTTCTGTCAGATAACCGTTCCGAATTTCAGTAAATTTGTGGTGCGTAATCGCCATATGACAGAATGAAAATCTTTTTCAAGTATCCAATATTTTGTTCACATTCCAAACATAAAATTGTTAACAACCATAATCGTGCATTTGCATGCAGTTACAATTATGCATCGTATGTTTGCGTCTCGACGCCATAAAAGAATGTAATACAGAAATTCATGTAACTGTTTTCTTCGTGTTTCGTTCACGTCCTCGCAGCAAACACGGAAGGAGCGCCGTCACTTTGTCGAATTACCCTCCTTA